TCAAGGACTAAACTAAGGCGTCTACAAGCGGTTCAAGTGAAGCGACGACAAAAACAAGATGTCTCCCTCGAGAAAAACAAGACCTCCGATTCAAGGCATTTTCCCGAAAAGGAATATCACTCAAGATTTCTCTAGCAGAGATCAAGACGGAGACTACGATCAAAGCGATTGAAACGTTCAGGAGACGAAAGGACACAAACGGCGTAAAACCACACCCTGTGTTCCGGAAAGACACAGGCATTGCCCCGTCGGCCAACGAATACGCAAACTGGTAGTGCCCCGTGCGTGCCATTCACGGCAAAGAGCACGACGCCTGCGAAACTCGAGCTATGAGTGCTTCAAGGCGTTCAACCCTTTTTCATTCCTCGCAAGAACTACTGTGTCATCAACGATTTCCGCGTTAAAGCTGTGCTAGTGTTTTCCAGAACACAAGAGCCAGCCTCGCCAACCAGAGCTCCATTAGATATGAACGGATTGCTGCCCCCTCTCCTGTGAAATTTTCGAGCAAGTTTATGCAACTCTCATGCGGCGTGGAACTACTGTATTTTCTGACATTTTTTTTCCTTATTATGAAACTACACGTGTTCATGCTTTATAGTGCTCTGTAACTCGCGCATTCTTAGGGGGGGGGGGGGGGGAATCTTGTGATGCAAGAATGTAGCCATGGTTGGAAGAAGTCCTCTCTCATATATATATATATATATATATATATATATATATATATATATATATATATATATATATTTATAGTAGTGGGGAATATATATATATATACTGACATCGAAAAAAATTTCGTGCTTCGGCACTGCACCCATACTACTACGTCACCGCAGCAGGGCGGCGACGCAGTGGTATGGTATGGTGCTCACCTTAAAAGCGTTTATTGATTTCACATGAGTCCACCTTTTCTCTTGCGTTTCATTTGCCAGACATATATGATTATTTATTTACTGAAACAGCAGCCCCATGTGTTCTACTGCGCCTCCACAAAATTAAGTAAGAAGGGTTGTTTGCAAGGCGACTTGCAACTGCGTTTTTGTACAAAGGCGATGAACACGACACAAGAACACATGACGCAGCGTATCGACGAAGAACAAAGCCGACGTGCTGTGTTCTTCTGTCGTCTTCGTTGAATAAGATCACTTTTGTTCAAAAAATATAAATAAACAAGCAATGTGTATAAGCGGTGCCCTCCTGGAATGGGGTATTTCCGTATAACTGAAAGGGACTTGCTTCACAGAACATCGCTTCGCCCGAATGTCAGGCGTGTTTAAACGCCCAGGAAATCGCTCCGGAACAGATAAGGGCTGCAGGAACGCAGTCAACATCGCGAAGCTTCGTGGCACTGCGTCGGCACGTTAGAAAACGGGTGCCCCGCGAGAATGCGTTAATCGACTCATTACGGAATAGCCCCGCCGCGGTGGTCTAGTGGCTAAGGTACTCGGCTGCTGACTCGCAGGTCGCGGGTTTGAATCCAGGCTGCGGCAACTGCATTTCCGATGGAGGCGGAAACGTTGTAGGCCCGTGTGCTCAGATTTGGGTGCACGTTAAAGAACCCCAGGTTGTCGACATTCCCGGAGCCCTCCACTACGGCGTCTCTCATAATCATATCGTGGTTTTGGGACGTTACACCCCACAAATCAATCAATCAATCATTACGGGATAATGCCAACATCGCGTCCCCTGCCACGAACCTCAAGACAGCCAGATGTGCGGCCGTTCGGTCAAACTGTCCGCGTGGCCTGCGGCAGTCTCCCGCCGACATGTCATCGATCGTGCATGCGCGTATGTAAAGCGGGCCGCGCCCTCCTCAGAGCCCTACTCCACGTGGCGCAACCCTGTTCTGCGGCGGTACGACGAAGCCCGTGTGGGCGAAAAACCTGCGGCTCACAGATGCACACCAGTGCATTGGACAGCATACTAATGGACGTTTAAAACGGGAGGCGCGTTGGTGCTCGTACATGCAGATCAACGGACAAACACTGGTGTCATTCGACACCTCGGGGAGCGACTCTTCACACGTGGATTGAACAGCTCGAATGCGCATGTCAGTGTTGCAAGTGGCCGTTTGAACCTTTTTGTTGTTATGCGTGGGTTATTCAGAGAACGAAAATGACTATTTGGACGGCACTCCCAACAGGGCGTTCTCTCTCTCTCTCTCTCGCTTTTTTTTTTTTCTTAAATACATATATATGTGTCTCTTTTCTCGCACTATCTGCACAAACGAAACACGATTCTTCGATGAGCAAGCGCCGTCACAGTAAGGAAACTACGCGAAAAAAATGCCAATAGCACACTCTTTATTAATTCTTATCCCTAACTCTTCCCAATCTAGGGCCCTCAAAACTTCCTGTAAACATCGTGTCTCCCTGCCTTAGACCCTTCTTTATTGGGAGTCTGCCGCTTTCTTTATGAAGGAGTGTGGTGGTTGTGGATCCACTGTAGATTTCATTATGTATATACAGGCTTCGTCAATGCCCCGATTCCGCAGAGCCTGCATAACTGCTCATATCACGACCGAATCAAATGTCTTCTCGTAATATATGAAGGCCATATATAGGGCTTGGTTGTATTACATGCAGTTTTCTATCACCTGATTGATAGTATGAATATGGTCTGTTGAGCCTGTACGAAATCCTGCTGGGTCATTTGGTTGATTAAACTCTAATGTCGTCTTCATTCTATTCGCTATTATTTTTGCAAATAGCTAGTAGACAACGAAAAGTAAGTTGATCAGCGTGTAATTTTTTTCAAGTCTTTGACGTCCTCTTTCTTTTGGATTAATATGATGTTGAAAATTCTTTCCAAGATACTGGTATCATTCCTGTGAAAAGACACTTCGTATGCAGGGTGGCCAGTTTTTTTGTTTTTTTTCTAACACAATCTTTCCTCCATTCTTAACAGGTCTGAGCCCCGCCGCGGTGGTCTAGTGGCTAAGGTACTCGGCTGCTGACAGCACGTCTCGGGATCGAATCCCGGCTGCGGCGGCTACATTTACGATGGAGGCGGAAATGTTGTAGGCCCGTGTGCTCAGATTTGGGTGCACGTTAAAGAACCCCAGGTGGTCAAAATCTCCGGATCCCTCCACTACGGTGTCTCTCATAATCATATGGTGGTTTCGGGACGTTAAACTCCACAAATCAATCATCAATCAACAGGTCTGATGTTACGTAATCCTCACCAGCAGCTTTTTCTTTTAGTGAAGCTTTCTTTACTTCCCACCTTGTTACTGGTTGGATGAGCGATTCCTCTGGGCTATTACTGCCCCTTACTTTATAATCTTGATTATCTCGACTTCTGTACGCAACTCTATCGAACTCCTCCGCTACCACAACTATCTTATTCATATTGGTAGTGACCTTGCCTTCCTTGTTCCTAATGCATACATCCGACTTTTGCCCACGCACAGTTTTGCCTTCAAAGCTTGTAGGCTTCTTGCGCTCTTTACAGCATGCTGAATTCTCTCCACGTTATACCTTCTTATGCCGGCTACCTTTCGCCTATTGATTAATTTGGTACGGTAAGCTAAACCGATCAGTTTTCGGCGGCTAGCTTCAGCAACCGCACTTCTGACCGGGTCTCTAATTCCAATGAACAGACTTCATCAATTAGAAGGCATATGCGTAAAATGAAACGCCTGATCTCCCATTGCGTCACGGCGTTCGAGCTTAATACTGTCACCACCAATTTGCTAGCTGTGCCACAGAAGCAAACAAAAAAAAAAAGTTGGGAAAAGCAACGTACCGGGGCAGCACATGCTCGTGCGCTTCGAGAGGACATTCGCTGTCATGCGCACGTTTCAAGGGCTCAGCTGAGAGATTATATTGCATGGCATGGGGTCTTCACTTCGCCGAACGAATGGCGCCTCAAAGAGGGCAATGCTTCGCAAGACAGCTAAAGTCGTGAAGGTTTTTCGTCGGCAGTGTCGCGGGAGCAGTGCTCGCACGTGCGTCGTGTTCTTCGTTGTTGTTGGGAACCCCATTCCCGTGCGGACTACAGACTCTACGCCGCAGATGCGCTGGCGGGCTTACTCACCAACCACCCGGACTTGAAGCTGCGCGTGCTGGGGCACGACCCCCGGCTCGAGCGCCAGGTCGCAGCGGTACACGCCTCGTGTTCGGATATCCGCGTCCAGCAAGCGCACGAAGCCCTCGCTCGACTGGGCGTGCTGCAGCATCAGTTGGGAGCTTCAGTGCCTCGCCCCGCACAGCGCCCGGTTATGCTACTCACATCGACGTACACGCCTGGCACCCGGTAGCTACGGCTGGGCGGATCAGCCTGCCGATCGTACGAGTAGAATTTCATATTGTCCTTGTACCACCACACCGCGCTGGGAGCAACGCCATGGTCGTCGCTGCAGTTGAGCCACAGGGGACTTCCCTTGAGCACCAGGCCCGGCCCACTTATGCGAAGCCCTGCGACAAGGGGGCACCGGTCCCAAGGTATCGTGCGCTTTGTTCTCATCACTCGCGGACATGCTGCCACCCCAGCCCGTTTCGAATGTACCAGCAAAGATCCTCGGCCGCGCATTTCATGCACACAAGCCGCACCGAGAAAAACACGGCTACCGATCCGACGCTCGAACTTTCAAAGCGAGCGCCTCGACTGGCGCGCCGCGGAAGCTATGCTGGCAGCTCGCCAGCGAAGCCCAATTTCGCTGGCATTTACCCTCGTAAACGCTACTCCGGACGGCCTTTCACATGCGATGTTTTGGAAGCTTTGCTGCATTGACAGCGCCCCGGGATGCGTCTCTTCCATTTGTCAGTACTTCACGGTCGACATACTCGCACTTGACATGCTTTCATATCCTTCCTTTTCAGCCGTCAGAGAGGTAAACAAACCCAACTTCGATGCTGCGGGGACAAGGAACGCGCGTTTGGCGCGCGTTGTATACACTGGTCAGGCCGCCGAAGCGCGACGAGCTGAGGCGCTCTCCTCACCGGGATAGTGGAACCCCGCCAAAGCTGCGCGTAGACGCGCGAACGTAAGGTGTCACTCACCTGATACGGTACGGATCACCAAGCAAATGAAGACGGCATGGCAAATGCCCGCGCTGACCATGGCTGGGAGGACCACAATGGCCCTCGGGCCGCACCGGCCTCCACTTTGTGCACGCAGCGCACCTGAACGGGCTCCCTTCCCCCTGGCCTGTTCGCGCCCCAAACGCGCACTAGGCTCCCCGGCTGCTCGCCACTCACTCCTCTGCTGCTTCCGATGCTGCAGCTCGCTCCGGCGGCTAACTTGCCGCGCTCGCGATGCGGGACGGGTCACGTGACCAACGATCACCGCCAGGGCGGTGCACTCGGTTCCGGTTTCGCTTGCTGGCGGCGCGCTTGCATCAGCGGAACCCCGGTACTTTTATCATATTCGGAAATTGGCGGGTTTTTTGCGTGTATAGTGGCTTCGGCTGACTGAAGAAGAGAACCAACTGAGCATCCAAGAAATAAGCCATTGCCCCGTGGAACTCTTATTAGTCTAATGACGGCGAACATTGAATAAAATTGTTCGTCAGTAATGTTCGCGGTGCATGTTCTGAACGTCTTTGCATGCATAACTACTATTAAGCTTGCATGCGTAACTTTGCAGCTTACAGAATTAAAGTCAAAAACAACCTTTTTCAAGTTTTTCAAAAACGTAATTCAAAAACATACGTAATTTCAAAAACGTACGTAATTTCAAAAAATTTCGTAATACACTGAACAAAGATTTGAAGATAGCCAAGACGGAATACTACATTAGTAAATTTACCACTCACTCAGGAGAGGCGCGCCTGCTGGGGGACACAATAAATCAGCTCATTAACAAAAAGGAGACATCCAGACGAATAAAATTTGAAAAACTGGGCACGAGTAAATTAGAAATCGCTGACACCTTTAACAAATACTTTTTAACAGTTGGTTAGTTTACAGCAGACAGCACGGAAACGTGTTGCGAGAACTATATAGCATCAAATTACCCGTCTAGTGTATTCCTGTTTCCTACTGATCAACAAGAAGTGGTAAAGCTAATCACGTCATTAAAGGATAACTGTGCTTGCGGCCCAGATGACATTAAGCCAAAGCCTTTAAAGGCTATAAGTCACATTATCGCTACACCACTAACGCACATTTATAACTTGATGCTATATTCAGGTGTTTTTCCCGATCAAATGAAACTTGCGAAAGTAACTGCCATCCATAAAGGTGGGCCATTTGATGAGCTTAACAATTACAGACCTATATCTGTACTCTCTGTGTTCGCGAAAATGGCTGAACGAGTTATATATAAGAGGATTACGGGCTTTCTAAACGCAAACAATATAATAGCAAAAGACCAGTATGGATTTTGCAAAAACAAGTCTGCTGAGTCGGCCCTACTCAGCATCAAAGAATACATTCTAGACAACATTGAAAACAAAATCTTTACACTAGGAATATTTCTGGATTTTAGAAAGGCATTCGACAGTATACAACATGATCTACTTTTACGACAACTACCGTATTATGGCATTCGGGGTACCACAGCTCAATTAATACAAAGTTATCTCTTGTCTAGAAAACAATATACCGTTGTAAATAATACACATTATCAAGTTGAACACATTAAGTATGGTGCCCCCCAGGGATCAATTCTTGGACCTATCCTATTCCTGCTGTTCATTAATGATATCGTAAATATCGATGGACACAAGAAAATAATATTATACACTGATGACACAAATGTATTTTTCGCAGGTTCAAACGTATGTGAACTATATGAAGAAGCTAACGTTTGGATGGAGAAACTAAATTTATGGTTAAACGCAAATAAACTTCAATTGAATATCGCTAAAACAAAGTACATGTTTTTCAAGCCCAAAGGAGTAGCTCATATATCATGCACTCCAATTTACTTCCAGATCACCGAGATTCAGCGCACAACAACAATCAAATTTTTAGGAGTTCTATTCCAAGAACAACTTTCTTGGTCTCCTCACATTGACGCGATAAAAAAAAAAGATCTTTCCAGGAGAATCGGCATTTTAAATAGACTGAGATACTACGTCCCATCAACTCTCAAGCTGCAAATTTACTACGCACTAGTACATTCACGACTAACATACTGCTCCTTGGTGTGGCTAACAACGACCACCACAAACCTTAATTCTCTGTTGATATTACAAAAGCGTGCTATACGTGCTATATCTAACACTCCCCTTTACGAAAGTGCTCGACGATATTTTAAAATGTACAAGGTATTGCCTATAAAACTGTTATACAGACATAAGCTATGTCTATAGAGATATTACACCAGTATAAACTAAATACATCACTATTCTTGGACACATATTATGTGAAACAAACACCATACGAGCTGAGAAAGAGCCTAATATACAAATATAGATCACGCACGAACTACGGTGACCAACGATTAGCGTCACAAATTCCAAACATTCTAAACAAACACCCAACTATATTACATTTACTGGAAGACGGAATTTCACCTAGATCATTTTAAAAAATAACGAAAGAGTTCCTAGTGGATGAAAGCGATGCTATTCATGATTTTTGAAATTTGTAGTTAATGATGTTTTTGTATTCGTTGCACCTTGTTCATTATTGTCCCTTTGCCTGTTGTTTATTATACTCTAATTTGTCTTGTAGAGCAACTCGATTTCCCAGTCAAGATGTCTCTTGTTAATTTATTTGATAGAAAACATGCATTTGTTTGTGTTTGCCACCACTCGAATAAGGACTGTTTATATTTCTATTCTTTTATTCACACTTATGGCAGTTCCTGTTTGACTATGGTACCCGTGTAAGATAACACGTGATGTTGTAATTTTCTGAGCACTGTACTTGCGGTATGTTTCTGCTTTGCTGCCAGGGTGGCACGACCAAGTCAGGCTTTTACTTAGCCTTTAGTCGTGTCCCCCAAGGCAATCTTGTTCAATTTTGCCTTGAATAAAAGCAAACCAAACCAAAGCATGCATAACTACTTGCGTAACAACGAAAGTTAAGCGGCAAGCAGCTACCCATACCACCCGTTTCCCGTGAACAGTATAACAAGCTTTTCAAACTTACAGGAATGTTACCAACGCATTTGCTGCAATTCCCCGAACACTCTGAATAACACTTCAAACAGCCCGTCTATTAGAAGTTATGAAACACTGTAGAACATTGAAAGTCGTTAGTATCAACGTGTAGGCAGCCTCTTGTCGAGACGCATACATTGCCTGTTCCATCACTGTTCATCACTTCAAGCCTTCGTCTTCTTCTAAACTTCTCAACTTTTCCGGCAATGTTTTCAATAAAAGAAACACATTTACATCACCCCTGAACAAACAGTGGTGGTTAAATTTCTTCACTGTAAACTTATATAGTTTCTGTCATTACTACACACACTTTTGAAGTTAGAGCTCAAGTTGGAGGCTTGTCCTGTTACTAAGCGAAACATTATTAACATTGCATAACTAATGAAGATATTCATCTTGCCTCTGATGACTCAGTCAATTTATGCTAATTAATTAATTAATAATTCTCTGGATGGCCGCTTCAGGGAAGAGTTTTCAGCTGTAAACAGCACCAGCTACTTCTCTTACTATGAGGGCTAAAAACTGTTGGACCATAAATTGGGGAACAAGAACTGATGGAAACTATCATAAACTGGTGAACATTTACACCACCAGCGAGTGGGATGTTTAGTGCATGCCTGTGGAATTTCCAAAAATGCTGCATTTCATGAGCCAAGATATGAATAAGAGACGGCAGTATGGGGAAGATGGACACTTGCAAGGAAAAAATCCGTAAACAGGGGTTGTGTATCGATAAGCGGACTTGTCTTCCTCAAGGCTATAGAACAGAACAGTTCTGTTCTAGCCTTCACTCTAAAGAAGTGGAGTTCAGCCCTAATTCACCGTCTCTACCCAACTAGATATAGCTCTATGTGCCCGCTCTGCAGCGTACCGGACACCCTGGCACATTTGCTTCTTGCATGCCAGTGTATTGCCAGACGCAATCTGCAATAACACACGACTGATAATAATGAAGCAGGACGGACAAACGAAGACCTAACCGAAACGTGGGAGACGAAGCTCGCCCTCGAGGACCTGGAAGACCAACAACAACTCGTCGCCAGAGCCAAGAGGGCAGTAGAAGCCAGAGGGTTCCTGGACTAAGGAGCCCTCCCACCTCAGGGTGACACCGGGCGTTGTTCGGGGCACAGTTTCGAAAATAAACGTTTACTTCTCTCTCTCTCTGCTACTCAACAATAATCGTCATCTGCTTTCTCGCGTTTCCTTTCTTGAAAACCCGGTGCTGGACACTTTCCTGTCTGGAATGATATATGCCACACGGATAAGGCGCGCGCCGTTCACGACCGCGAGCCATACCGCAGTGAGAGCGCGAGCAAAGTACTTGAAGCAGACGACGGTTAGTGTTGTGTAGCAGAAACACTCCCCAAATACTCTATCTTGTATTAGAGCGTTGAGGAAGGCAAGTCTGCTTGTCAAAACGCCGGCTCGACAAAACCCTTGTTAAAGGATTTTTTTTTCATTGATGATGAATAAGTGGCAAGCCGTACAATCGGGGCCCTCCGGATTAATTTTGTCCACCTCTTTAACGTTTATTTATTTATTTATTTATTTATTTATTTATTTATTTATTTATTTAAATACGGACAACTCTGTGTCTGGGGTCATTACAGGGAAGGTGTCACAAAATACATAATATTCACAGAGAAAAGCAACATTCCATAGCACATAGAAATAACGGATCAATAATGAGCATCGCTACTTTATTTTAGTTTGCTAAAGTAATGTGCAAGAGTCTCGGCGGAAAACAGCGCTTTGCGATATAGGGGGAGAGGCGCTGAAAGTTGTAAAGAAATATGTCTACTTAGGGCAGGTAGTAACCACAAAGCCGAACCATGAGAGTGAAATAACTAGAAGAATGAGGATGTGGTGGAGCACAATGGGCCAGCATTCTCCAATCCTGAATGGCAGTCTACAACTGTCGCTCGAGGGGAAGTGTATGACGGCCGCATCGCCCCACCCCGGTGGCCTAGTGGCTGAGGTACTCGGCTGCTGACCCGCGGGTCACGGGATCGAATCCTGGCTGTGGTGGCTGCATTTTCGTTGGAGGCGGAAATGCTGTAGGGTCACGTGCTCATATTTGGGTGCACGTTAAAGAACCCTAGGTGATCGAAATTTCCGGAGCCCTCCACCACGGCGTCTCTGGTGGTTTTGGGATGCTAAATCCCAC